TAAAAATTAAAAATACATAACATATTTAATTTGTTTCTAATATATTATTTTTGTTTCTTATATATATTAAAAAACTGTTTTATTATTTAAAAAACTGTTTTATTATATTCATTAATTTAATAATATATTATGTTTACTAAAATAATATATATTAAAAAACTGTTTTATTATTTAAAAAACTGTTTTATTAATATATTATAATTTAATAATATATTATGTTTACTAAAATAATATATATTAAAAAACTGTTTTATTATTTAAAAAACTGTTTTATTATATTCATTAATGTAATAATATATTATGTTTACTAAAATAATATATATTAAAAAACTGTTTATTATTTAAAAAACTGTTTTATTAATATATTATAATTTAATAATATATTATGTTTACTAAAATAATATATATTAAAAAACTGTTTTATTATTAAAAAAACTGTTTTACTAATATATTATAATTTAATAATATATTATGTTTACTAAAATAATATATATTAAAAAACTGTTTTATTATATTCATTATATATTTAGAAAAACTGTTTTATTATATTCATTATATATTCATTATATATTTTAAACTGTTTTTTTATATTCATAATATATATTCACTATATATTTAAAAAACTGTTTTATTAAAATAATATATATTATGTTTACTAAATTATAATAACTATTTAATAATATATATTATTCTATATAATAGGTATAATTGATTTACTAAAAATCACACAACATATTATTTAATTAAAAATCGGTTTAAAAATCACACAACATAATATAAATCTGTTTTTTTAATTTGTTTCAAATAAATAATCTATTTTTTTAATTAAAAATCACATAACATATTATTTTTATTTTTGCTTTCTAAAATTTAAAACAACAACAAACCCAATATACAATACATTATATCACAATATTTCTAAAATCTAAAATTTTTTAACCTAACTATCAAAGTTTTCAACAACAACAATACAATACATAATAAATATAAACAAATTAAAATTCATAAATACCTCTAATTAAGCTTCCAATATAGAGGACTTCTTATAAAATTGTTAGATCTGAAGAAAAAAAAATTAACAGTTAATAATAAAAAAATATAAAATAAACTATAACATGAAACAATCACAAAACCAACTAATATATCACCTTAAATTTTTTGCAAATGAAACTTTGTTGAGGTAACAGCCCCACCAGCACATCAGCTGAAGAGAAAAACAAAGGGGGAAGAAGAAGGAGATGTGGGAATTTTGAAGAGACGAGGACTTGAAGAAATTCTGAGATTTGGTTTATATAAGGGAGGTTGCGACGTGGCATTAACATCAGAAAGTTGCGACGTGCAGGCCAGGTGGGTAGTTTGCGACGTGGCAAACCCTTCAGAAATTAGCGACGTGAAATGAAGGTCGCAACTTCATTTTCATTAATTGCCAACTTATCTCATAAAGCTTGCGACGTGACATTTACATCGGAAACTTGCGACGTGAATTTAAAGACGGAACATCCCCCAATATTAAATTATTACCGTTGGTCCACTAAATGCCAACGCAACGGGAAGATAATTATTGATATAAGTGGGTTGCGAAGTGAAAATCATGTGGGTATTTTGTGACCTTTTTGAATTTTAACTTCCCAAGTGGTTAACACGCCACAACACAATTTGTGAAAATTCAAATTTCCCTCTCCCTTAAAATTCCAAATTTTCGTTCCAGAGTTTGACATAGCAAAGTTTATTAATAAAAAATGTTACTGACGTGGTTATCACTTGGCAACACAATTTTTTATCCACGTGTTTACCACGTCACTAATTCACTAGAGAAATACAACATTTTCTTATTTATATATATATATATATATATATATATATATATATATATATATATATATATATATATATATATATATATATATATATATATATATATATATATATATATATATATATATATATATATATATATATATATATATATATATATAAATTGGTTATTATTATCATACTTTTTTCATAGATATAAGTATAGAAATATATATATATATATATATATATATATATATATATATATATATATATATATATATATATATATATATATATATATATATATATATATATATATATATATATTGGTTATTATTATCATACTTTTTTCATAGATATAAGTATAGAAATATATATATATATATATATATATATATATATATATATATATATATATATATATATATATATATATATATATATATATATATATATATATATATATATATATATATATATATATATATTTTTTTTTTTTTTTTTTTCAAAATGAAGCCTTAGAGTGTAACTTTGATAGCCTACCCCTAAAGCCTGCCCTATCTGACAAATTTCCTACCATCACATCATCTTCTTCTAACTAAAAAAAATTAACAAATGAAACAAAAACTATAAAAAATAATTAGAAAATAACTTAAAATTTTCATTTTTTAAAGTTTTTTTTTTTATCTAGACAATATAAGCTGCCAGCAAACCAACATGTGAGTAAATGAAATAAAACTTATAAGATATGATATGATATGAGTTGCCAGAAGTTTTCATCATGGCATATGATTATGCACGTCTTACGCCAATTGTCCAATTATATATCTAAATGTGTATTTATTTGTTAAAAAATATAACACGTGACATTTTTTAATGATTAAAAATTGATAGATGTTTTAAATGATTAAAAATTGATAGATGTTTTAAGATAGATTATAGAGTTGAGAGTTAACTCACGTATTAATGGGATCAAAAGTTCATTAAATATGCGGAAGAAAATTTATTTAAAAATACACTAAAAATATACTATTTCATTCATTTTAATTCATGGTTTTATTTTAATTAGCCCATGAATAATAAATTAAAACTATGACTTATATGAAGTAATCTAAAGATTAGATGGTCATTTGACAATGGCACAAGCTAGAAGAGTTAATGGTGCCCTAATACAACTCGTGGTCAAACCAATGGAAGCAAAAGACCAATTGAGAGAAAACGGATCAAGACTTGTAATTTTGATCCAAGTTCATGAAGATGATATGATGTGTGGGCTTCTTGTTCCATTTTAATATTTTAATTAATCATGTTTTAATAAAATATGTGAGGATCCAATTGTCCAAATTTGTCCCAAAACACTTAATTTCTTTTTCAGTGTTATTTAAACTATTTTAAATCTCACAATGCTTTAATTCACACATCTCCTTTCCAATCAATAATGAGCATTGAAGGAGGAAGGGAGATATATGTGGGACTGGATTGATCATATTGGCTATAAATTGCTATAATTCATTAAGGCAGTATATATCCAATTTCTCTACCATCTTTTAGTGTGTAACATTTCATCTCCAAATCATTATTGATATAATAGTGGGTTGAATTCGTAACATTTCATGAGTTATTATTGTAATTTTAGCAAGCTATCTTATACCTATAAATAGGGAGCTAATCATGAATATAAGATGAAGTTGAATTTCGTTAAACAAACACATTGTGTGAACTTAAGAGCTTTGGTAATTTGGTTCTGAATTGGACCGAGTTTTTTTTTATCTTATCAAGAAACCAAGTTTCTTGTGGTGACCTTCACCTAGACTTATCATCCTTTCTAGGTGTTCAATATGGTTAAATCTAGGTGTTCAATGATGGAAAGGCATGGACAATGGTTAAGAAGAAGGAAAAAGGAAAAGGTATCAGTTTTGAACCCTCATCTAGTGTTAATTGCAATAATGAATTTGAGGCTCTAGAAGTTTTGAATGACCATCTAGTTGCCACTGATATAGGACCATGATTGTCTCTTGGAACATTAGGGGGCTCAATAAGGTAGGTAAGTTAAGGGAGATTAGCTCCCATCTCCTTGAGCTCAAGCCTGCAGTTGTTATATTGATTGAGACAAGAGTTAAAAAGAATAAAGTTAATGAAGTTAGGAATAAACTGCATTTGACTGATAACTACATTGATAACTACAAAATGACAATGGTAGGATCTGGATAGGATGGGATAGCAACAAGGTTGATATTCAATTTATTCATAGTTCGAGCCAACATATTCATTGTGGTGTTTATGATGTTACTGGAGGGTTTAAGTATTGGATGACTATTGTTTATGCTTACAACCTTCTAGGAAAGAGAAGGATTCTTTGGAAAGAGCTTGAGCATCTTCATGGCAATCTTCAAGGGCCTTAGTGTGTAATGGAAGACTTTAACAATATGGCCAAATCACAGGATCACATTGGAGAAAGTTTGGTTACAGAAAAGGAGTATGAGGATTTCCAAAGTATGATGGCTAATACTGGTGTTAGTGAGATGAATAGTATTGGTGGCTATTTTACTTGGTCCAATAAACATGAAGTGGGGACTATATATTCTAGAATTGATAGACTGCTGAGAAATACTTAATGGTTCCAAGACAATCTGGATTCTACATTAATTATAATGCCTTTCAACATATCTGATCATGCCTTACTCTATGTTACCAAAAACAATGAAAATAGAAACAAGAAATACTTCAGATTCAGCAACTGTCTGGTGGATATGCCTAGCTTTATAGATGTTGTAAAGAATAGTTGGAATAAACCTATAAGAGGCAGGCCTATGTATGTTATGTGGGCTAAACTCAAGAGATTAAAACCTGGGCTGAGAAAGTTCAGCAGACCTCTATCTAATCTGAGACAGAACTTGGTGAAAGCTAGAGAAAATCTAAAGTTGGCCCAGATTAATCTTAGTCGGGACAGAATGAATAGCCAAATCATTGAAGAGGTGAAAAGGCTCACTGAAGAGGTTATCTTTCTCAATGAGATTGGGGGGGGGGGGGGGGGGGAATCTTGAGGAAAAGGGCTAAAATTGAGTGGCTCCATAAAAGCTAAACAGAGGTCTAAATGCTTGAACCACATTCAAAAAGTTGATGGCTCTTTAACTAAAGATCAACATGAGATTGAAAAAAAGGTGTGGAATAAGGTGCACCAATCTTGGGTGTTCAAGCATATTATGAATCAACGTGTGAGCAAGAACAAAGTTCAACAGGTGTGGAATAAGGCTATGTTGCGGCAAAAGTTTAAAGCTAAAGATTTTTATGCAGTTTTGAATGATGATCATGAGGATGTGATGTGGAAGAATCTAATGATGTGAAACTATGCTAGACCTAGAGCCGTGTTTTGTATGTGGCTTATCTGTCATGGCAGGATTGCTACGAAAGATAGGCTAAAGAGGTTTGGGATGCTTCATGACAGTATATGTAGCCTTTATAATGTGGAGGATGAATCTATTAATCATCTTTTATTTGGATGTAGTAAAACCAAGGGTATTTGGATAGAGGTGCTCAATTGGCTTGATATGAATCATTCTCCTGGCTCATGGAGAAATCTAATGGCAAAGGATGGAAAACTACTATTTTGAAGATTCTTGTGGCTGAAACTTTGTATGAAATTTGGAATCATAGAAATGATGTTGTCTTTGAAAATATTGTGAATAGCAATATAATTAGTACAAAAATCATAGATAGTGTGGTTTATAGAGGTTGAAACCATAGAAAAATTAGAAAACATTTAATTAATTTGATGATGTAACTAGTCTTGATAGTTGGTTGGATCCTAGGGATCACATTGGTTGTATGGTGTTTTTTTGAATTAATATATTTTCCCTTTGATTCAAAAATAAAGTTTCAAATAAACAAACAAATATTTCAATATTCTTTTTAAGATATAATTGTTTATTATAAATGTTGTTACATGTTACGAAATTTAACTTCAAATGTTAAATCTTATTACAATGCTTTAAAATATTATCAAACTATTCTTTCAAAATTAACTTGTAATTTTCAAATAAACAAACAAATGCTTCAATTTTTTCTAAAATATGTTTTAAATTGTTTCAAAAATATTATTTTAAATTATAACTGCAGATAAATATTACAAAATTAAACCATTGATTTTCATCTATCGTTTATAATTCTTTACATAAAAATTACCTTTAATATATTGATAAATTTTAAATAATTAAAATAGAAGGGCTACCTCAATTAAGTTAAATCAATTTTAAATGTTGCAAATTAATGGTATAGTAAAAGAAAAATAAATAATTAAAAAACACACTTTGCATGTTTAAATTCTCAAATCATAGTTGTTCCGGTCTGGGCCCGACCTCGGCAGGCCCAATACCACGTACGACCCAACAGGCGAATCAGGCACGCCGAGCACGTGCGTCCCACGAGACGAGCAGAGAATGCCGCCGGACACAAGCAGCGCATCCAACGGCAGCTCGTCGTCCATCTTACCAGCCGAGCAGAACCAACCCCGGCACACCAAAGCGCGACCTTGGTTCCTCCCCTCCGCGGGGACAACAGCATGCTCCGGGACATCTCGCGAGCTCCCCTCCGCGGGGAGAACAACGTGCCCGGCGCACGTTCTCCACGTGCTCCCCTCCGCGGAGACACGTCATCAACCAACTGCCCACCTCCGAAAGAGCAGGTCAAACCCACTTTCCGGAGATCTAGGAGCAGTTGGACTAGGGCGAAGACCACGTCCTGGTCTTCACTACGCCACGTAAGCCCTAGCAGTCATTACGGTTGGGCCTGGTCATCCAGCCCATCTCAAATGACCGTTGGCCCAGTGCTGGGGTCTCTCTATAAATACCCTCTTCCTCAAGAGGGTCAGGTAATTCACATCTTGCCCTTTCTGTATTTTGCTCACGCTCTGCCCAACTCCTTACTTTGTCATCGGAGTGTTTTGCAGGTACACCCCCCTTTCTCCTCTTCATCACCGGTGAACAGGTAGCAGTCCAACAGCGTGTGGCCAGCCCGTGATCCCCTTCTGATCAGGTCAGATCAGTGGCGCCGTCTGTGGGAACCTGAAACTTTCCCGTTACTCCGAGCAGAAAACCAAAAGTTTCACCAAACCTCCACGATCATGGCTAGTCCACACCGCGACGGCACTTCGCACGACCTCATACTCAACGTCGCCACCAACGGGAACAAGCAGACAGGGACGACACGTCCGGCGGAAACCGACGAAAGGGACGGGCAAACTGCCTCGCCGTCATCCGCGGAACGGCCCCTCCAGGTCGACCACCAGCCCCCGAGCCCACCAGCGTTCCTTCCCGTTCCCATCCCGGCGGGAGCGGACCCAACGGTGGCCGCTCTCTTTACAGCCATCAACCAGACGGACCAGCTGCTGTTCCAACAAAATGCGAGGTTTGGAGCATTAGAACGCATCGGTCCTCCGAGGTACCCCCCGCGGGAAGACCAGAACGGAGGTTCGAGGAGCCCCTCGCCTCGACCCAGAAGCCGCCTGCCGCGGCTGGAAAGGCACCGCACCCAGGTGACACGAGAACGCACCAGATCCCCAGCAAGACACGTTCGCGTGAGAAACTAAAACGTCGCGGCAATCCCAACCGAGGACCCCCGAGGCGAGAACTCAGGCAGGAGATCGAGAACCCGAAACCAGGGACACACTTTGAACGGCTCATCTCCCCACAGATCCCCGACGCACAGCGACGAGGATGATTACCGCACCCCGCTGTCCCGGGAGATCATGGTTGCCCCCATACCCCAGGGGATGGAGAAACCACCGACGCTGTCGACATACGACGACACCTCCGACCCGGACGATCACCTGGAAGACATCGAGGCTATGCTCGACTACCGAAACGTCCGGGGAGCTATCAAGTGCAGACTCTTCCCGACGACCCTGAGGAAAGGCGCTATGACCTGGTACAAAAGTCTGGAGCCCGAGTCAGTTACGTCGTGGAGGGTCTTGAAGGACTTGTTCTCCAAACACTTTACGGCATCCCGACGTCACCCAAAGACGGAAGCAGTTCTCGGGGCAATCATCCAAGGCCCCGACGAACCCCTCCCAAAGTACATCGAAAGGTTCACTCGGGAAGCAGTGCAGGTGACAACGTCCGACGAAATGAAACGCTACTTAATGGAACAAGGCCTGCGCCACGACTCCAAGTTCTACGAGGCCGTAGGCATACACCGCCCAACATCCCTCCAAGATTTCCTCGACAGGGCCGCGCATTACATCCGATTCGAGGAAACACAGGCGGCCAACTCCGCTCGTGACACTCGGGACAGGGAGGCCCCCCGCGGGCACCGAGATGACGGAGCTTCGAGCCATCGACGAGGAGGAGACCGCCGTCGGGAAGACCGCCCCCGCGAACCCCGCGAACAACGCGAACCACGCGGCCCGACAGGAAGATTCACAGAGTACACAGCCTTGGTCGCTTCACGCGAACGCATTCTGGCCGAATGCGCTAAAACCGAGTTCGTGCAGGGAGGTGTCCGTTTTCCGCGACCAACGCCGCCCAAACCCAACATGGACAAGTCAAAATACTGCCGATTCCACAGGACCCACGGGCACGTCACAGAAGACTGCATCCATCTCAAAGATGCGATCAAAATTCTAATCAAAGACAGACACCTAAAGCGATACACCCGAGGAGGCGAACCACCCAGGCCAGAGGCCCCAGAAGCCAAGAAAATCGAGGAACTTCCCTCTCCAGAGGACAGCAGCAGGCTCCAGGTCGCGCTGTGCGTCAGCCACCCCGAGGATTGGTTCGCGGGCAGAGAATTCGGTATCCCCGAAGGGCCCAACCTAGTCGACGAGCTGATCCGACCAACTAGCCGATGGGAATACTTCCCCAAAGCCATGGTCATCTCTGATGGAGCCACGAGGAGTCTATCCATAGGATCTGTGAAAAGGAAACTCGACGAACTCATCGCGAACAACTCCGGCAAAATGAGCACGCTCGACAAATTCCGAGGCCGCTCCAACCCGATCACATTTTACCTCGAGGAACTACCCGGGGGATCTCCCAATTCCAACATACCCTTGCTCATACGTGCCCGAATGGCAAACTTCTACGTCAGGCGCCTCCTCGTCGACGGCGGGAGCTCGGTTGACATCATGTACTCACATCTGTTCACTACTCTCCAGCTCGACGAATCCAACCTTTCTCCCTACGTAGGCTCCGACCTGCAGGGGTTCAACGGGACGACGACGAGACCTTGGGGATACGTGGAATTGAAAGTCACCTTCGGAGAAGAGGAAACAGCCAGGGACATCAGCGTCCGCTTCTTAGTCATCGAATGCCCATCCCTCTATAACTGCATCCTGGGCAGGACGACGATAGCAGAACTCACCGCGGTACCCTCCACCGTCCACCTGAAGATGAAATACTACACAAGAAGGGGAGTCGTGGTAACCCTCAACGGAGACATCGAGGCCGCCCGAAGATGTTTCGAAGCTGCGCTGAAAGGCCTAGACTCCATCGCTCCAGCGACCAAAAAGAAAACGTCAAGCGCTACGCCAAGGGGCAAACCAACGAAGCTGGTCGGATCCGTTGAGCTCGACAGTCGCTTCACTGACGAGCTCGACCACGAAACAAAGACCAACGAAGTCAACGGGCAGCCCTCACACCCAGTGCGCCCCATCCCGGACGGAGAATTCGAACTCGTCCCCCTCGGGGAAGACACGAGCAGAACCGTGAGGATAGGCGCAGGACTCCCAGACCTCGCGAAACGTCAGCTCCAAGCCTGTCTCCGCGAGAATGCCGACCTCTTCGCCTGGAGCGCCGCGGAAATGCCGGGACTCGACCCCGAGGTTGCCTGCCACCAGCTGTCCATCAACCCGACCGCAAAGGCCGTTGTACAACGCCGGCGTCGCCAGTCCCCCGAGAAATCGGCAGCGGCCGAACAAGCTGTAAAAGACCTCTTAGAGGCAAATTTTATTTCGGAAGCCCGGTATTCAACATGGCTGTCCAATGTTGTACTCGTTAAAAAGAATAATGGAAAATGGCGCATGTGTGTTGACTACACTGATCTCAACCGGACATGTCCTAAGGACGCCTACCCCCTCCCCAATATCGACAAGCTCGTCGACAACTCTGTGGGCTTCAAGCTCTTGTCCTTCATGGACGCGTACTTGGGATACAACCAGATCCCAATGGCCGAATACGATAAACAAGCCACGGCCTTCATGACGGCGTCGGGCAATTACTATTACAACGTGATGCCCTTCGGCCTCAAAAACGCCAGAGCCACATACCAGCGGATGATGAACCGTGTCTTCCGCGACGAAATCGGAGACATGCTCGAAGTATACATGGACGACATGATCGTCAAATCCGGCGCGGAGGACGACCACGCGACACATCTCCAGAAGGTCTTCAAGACCGCGAGGTCATGCCGCATGCATTTTGTAATACCCCAAATTTTGTCCTAAGATTAGTCGTTTCATCTTGCATCCCATTTCATTTTGCATTGCGTTTAAGCTAACCACTAACGGGTTGGGCAGTTGGTTGATTGTTGCAAGAAAATATCATGTGGCGCGCTCTTTTAGTTTACAGGGTTTCTAGTGCCACTTTATTTTGAATGAATAAAATAGCACAATTGGCAA